CTATACATTTAAAATAGGAGAAATCTTAATAAAAAATGTATTTTAAATCATTTTGACTAAAAATATGTAAAATTTTTAGGTATAAATGGTATTTTTCATGCATATATGCGTGTATATTTTGGTTTACTTGCATATTTTTGTGCATATTTTGGCAATTTTTTATGCATATTATAGTGCATATTTTGCATTTTTTAATGCATAAAAATCCGGGCTCTAATTATGACTTTATTATTCTTCGTTTTTCTATTGTAAGAGCGATGTGGGGTACTCTAAACCTTGACGGTTGGGTCTTGTCCATTTTAATTTTCTGGATGCCATGCTAGAGCAAATGGAAAATGATATCGTTAAAAGTCCCTATTATCAGTATCCCGGTATTTACCTTATTACCCCCCCCCCCCCATCTTTTGAAAAAATCCCGTTACTGTATTTGGTTCATTTTTCGGTATCAAGAAATTTAACATTGGAAATTAGTAGCAAGTTTTTGAAAAATTGGATCCAAGGATAAAACAGAAGTGGTTAAATATACCCTAATCGCTCACACATCCAATTCGCTCACTCCCTCATCAATATAACCTAAGCCTATAGGGGGTATTTTTTGATATTTGCCACAAACTACAGGTAATTCAAATAATTCTTTGTTTGATAACCGGTAAATCATTCCGTGGCAATAAAACAGAAAACGACACAAAGCCGGTCCGCAAGTTTCGGCCTGTCGTTTATATTGTATCTGGCTCTTTAAAGTACTTTTTAAGTAAACAAAGTTATTTCATGTAATTGATATCTCACGAAAAATTCTTTCCTCGAAAAATTGTATTTTTAAAGTTATTAGTGCGAAACATTTTAATAAAGAATTTTAAGTAATTTTACTTTAACTTTAAAACTTTTTAAAATTAAAAAATAAAAAAATTGTCCCCAGATTTACTTGATATTATATTTAAATTTGATTATTTTGTTTGTTTATTACAGGGTAATTCTCTAAACATTATTCTGATTATTTTAATTATTTTTAAAACACCAAAAGAAATGAAAACACACAGCAGAATTTTGAAACAGAATCCAAAAACTTTGGATTCTGTTCAACCATTCTTAAGCTTATTTAATCACACCGCTTCTAAAAATCTCATCAAGCAGCTATGACTTTTAGGGAGTTGGATAATATGTACTAAAAATATAAACCAGAAAAAAAGAAACCAGAAAAAATTTTAAAAATTTTAGAATTTTTTAGGCAAAAAATTTTTTAATGAACGAATGAATTTGTTGTAAAAATTTTTTTTTAAATTTATCGCGATAATTTTTTTCAAAAAAATTTTCTTGGTTGAATTTTAAGTCACTAATATTTTTTAAAAGTGCACGTAAACAGAAATTTAAGCTAAATTAGTATTTTTTACTTTAAAAATTTTTTTAAAGCACACTTTCATTTTTACTGAATATTTAGTGCATATTTTGGCAAATTTTTCATATTTTCGTGCATATTTTGGGCTTTTCGATACATATGTATGCGCATATTTGGAGATTTTCCGCGCATATTTTGCCACTCCGTACTTATGATTTTATTTAACGTTATTATACTTATAAGTAGAGTTGCACGAGATCGAGATTTTAGAAAAAATCCGAGACCGAGATTGACCGAGACCCGCAATACCGAGACCGAGACCGAGATGCAAAATTTGACCCGAGATCGATATCGAGATCCGAGATAAAACGAGATTTTTCACAACTTTTTTTATCCACCAAAACCCATTTAAATTAATTAAATATCATCTAAATCATCATCAAAATCATCTGCTTCATCAGAATCAATTTCAGTTGGTGGACCAAGCAACAGTTTATCCATATTTGCCTTTACAACTAGAATTTTTTCCTCCATTTCTCCAGAAAGAATTAAGTATAAAGGGTAGGGGACACTTGTTAATTAGAAGGGGTCTCAGTCTCGGTCGAGATCTACTTATCTCTCGGTCTCGGTCGATCTACTTATAAGTAAATATATTTTCAAACAAAATTGAATTAGCCAACTACATCTTAATGGACTTAATAAATAACTTCTATTAAAGAAAAATTTAATTTTCTCTTCATAAAGAAAGAAATAAGGCTTGCCTTCTATTTTTCCTTGTCTTTCTCCTTTTTTCCTAATTTTGGCTTTTTTTGGCCTTAATGAATATTTCCACCCCATTTTAAATATTTTTGAGTATCACTACATTGTAGCGATAAATCATTTAAACAGTGTCTGTGGGTATTTCGAACCAAAAAAGACTTTAATTTACCATCTATATGAAAACATCATTTCTGAGCTCTCATCATGGCAAATCCTTTACTTGATCTACTTGACTTTATACGTCCAATCGAACTTTATGAGTCCAATCAAAAAAATTAAATTTTTTGTGTCGCAAAGTTGGGTATGGTTCCTAAATTTCTACATGTTTCGGAACAACGCCCATTGGGTCTGGGCCGTTTATTTGGTCTGGGCCGTTTATTTTTAAGAATTTCGGAAAAACGATTTTAACTTTTAAAAATTTCGAGGGATAAGGTAAGGAACGGTCGCAGACCCAGTGAGCTTAGGTCACGAACATGAAGAAATATTTTGGAAACATATCCTTACTTTGCAATACCAAGAAAAATTCAATTATTTCTTCATTGGACTCATAAAGTTTGTTGGATTCATAGAGTCAAGTAGAACTAATATTTTTAATATTAAAATTTAAGATGAATAAATTTATTATTATTCTTTTTGTTTCATATTTGGTTGTTCTGTTGAATATCCAAATTAACGGTAGAATGGTTGAGGTTGGACTAAAAATAAAAGAAGATTGGAAAGGAAAAAGAGAATTTATTTATTTAAAAAATATTCAAATAAAGGAGCGTTTTGTATTGATAATGAATGTAAAACAAAGAAGAAGAATAGTTCATTATCTTTATAAGAATACCGGATCGTTTTGTAAGCTTGAAGTAAATCCTGTTAATAATGCTTTTATTGTTAAACTGAATAAGGGGCATAAATTTAGCTCTCAATTAAAAATACGAATTTTGATTGAACTTGCAAATAATGAAATTGTCATGAAATTATTGAAAAACTTGGGAAAACAGGTATTTTTTATTTGATTATTCGAAATTTAAGCCTTAAATAATACACAAATTTATCAGATCTAAGATTCGCCTAAATAATGATTTTGTCCTGAATAATAATTATTATGAAACTTCGATATTAGAAGATGGTTTAGAAAATATAAATAAAAAAGAATTATTAAAAGAAAATATAGAGTCCTATAAAAACAAACTTTTATCAAGTTATTGGACAGAAATTAATTTAATTGGATATAAAATTGAATTGTTAGAAAAACAAAAAGTTGAATATCCGAAGGAAGAATAAAAAAGCAAAATTATCTATTTTGGCGATAAGATAGGTAATTATATTTTTATTGAATTTAAATGATTTTTAATATTACAGCTGATATTGTTAATGGATTTATTCAACGATGTTTCATTTGTAGAAATACACAAAGCAGACTTTGGTATAAACACCTTAAAGAGAATTATTTTTGCTACGCTTGTCACAAGTATAATCTGAGAAAAAATAGGAAGACTAGACCGAAGAAATTATGGCTTAAAACTAGAGTGGTTTCTTTTTTTATAAATAGGGGAAATTTGTAATAGTTAGACATTATTTCAAATCTAAATATTCTAGAAAGTTTCAAATGATCGAAGTTGTTGTATTTGCGGTCATAAAAATAAATCACCTTGGTACCGATATTCAGAACCTGGACTCTATATCTGTATGAACTGTCACAGAAAACAGTGTAGAACAGAAATGAAAACAAATAAAAATGCAAAAGAAAGAGATACGAATATATAGTTATTTAATTATTAAAGTGTGGGTTTTTACATTACAATCTATTATATTATTTTTCCCGAAATAATTATGTTGAGAAAACAATTTTATTTAAACCCATTTTATAGTAGTTGCAAACCAAAATATTTTTTAAGTTCATTAAATCATTAAATTTTATTCTGTCTTTGTTGCATATTTTAGATTTTTTCGTATAATATTTTGTAAAATACTATATTTAAAGAATAATAAATAAAAGTTTTTCGGCATTTCCCTTTTGTTACGAATTCTGTATCGTTCCAGAGGGAAATGAAAATTTTATCTATCAAATAATCTTTGCTTTAACTTTAAAAAATAGCGATTTCAGTAAAAATTTAAAAGTAGAATTTATATTAAATATTTTATTTAAACAAGGAAATAAATTATTTAAAACGTCTATTAAAATTAATTGTCTATCTAGAATTTATTTAATTGAAGCGTGATTTGCATTGTTGTCTATACATCCTTCACCTCGAGGCGAAACACGCGATTGCACTTTTAGCCAGTCTTATTGTCTGGCTATTTAATTATAGAATCCCTTTAAATTTTAGTGTCAATAAAAGCTTTAAAATATTCTAAGGGCATTCAGAAAAAAATTTTAAATTAAATTATATAGAAAAATTATTAAAAATTTTTAAATTTTTATTCTTTTATTTAAATATTTTATTTTCAAAATTTAATATTTTTTTAATTTTCTCGTTAGAAAAATCGTAATAGCACATCTACCTTTAGACCGTCTGTCTTCTTAGTATTTTAGCATTAAAGTTAACATTACCTTGTATCCAAAACCAAAAAACTTCTGGGTATCCAAAATTTTCAAAATGCATATCCTGTTCCGTATATCCGAAGAAAAACCAATAGCCCAGGTCTCCATTCCCGAGTAATATGTCTTAAACAGATTTGACCTGAAATAACAGTTTCTCTATATTAAGTCGGCTTCGTAGCAAGAGGCGAACGAATTAACGAGATCCCAATTCAAATTTATATAAACATTTGGGGAAAGAAAACTTTTATCCTATAATGAGGCCCCGAGTAGTCAATTAAATATTAAAAACGGGCCCTAACTTGATATATTAAATGAATATTATAGTAAGGATATATCTACATTTTTCTTTAATTTACAGGAATTTTTAAACATAAAATGTTTTTATTTGCAAAATTAACCATTTTGTTATTTTTAATTTCCCAACTTCCTTTTACATGTACTACACCTACCAAGAAAACTTCAACTTTCGAAATAACCCGAGAAGCTTCAACCTCTGAAATAATGTTAGAGGAAGTGGATAATGATTTGAGAGAGCAAGCAGGCGTTGAAGAATTTTTAGATAGTTTATTTAAACATAATATTTTTTCTGGTGAAAACCAGGAAGGATTGATTAAACAAATAGAAAAAATTAAAAAATTGAATCCCTTGGCAATGGAATATTTGGTGAATTATCAAGAATTTACCAAGCTGTGCAAATTTTTGGACGAGCAATTGACAAATAAATATCATAAGAATAATAGTTTGAAAGATTCCTTGAAAGGAGTGCCCGACAAAATTAGAAACTTACATGTTCGTTTGCTGAAATATTTAAATTAAATTAGCCATATCTTAGTGCCCCAATGCGGGTTGGTGTTAAATTAGGGTTCTTGTTGCTTCACAATAAGTGAAGTATGCCGAGATAAGGAAGAGGCAGATCGTTAACAGTGGGCATTATATAGCTCTTGGCTTTAAGATACAAGGACTCAACTCTCAGCTGAATGGAAAATAACTCATCTCCTTTTGCATATTCCATTAGTCATATCCGCATACTTGTTTACTAATAATTTCACGAGGATAAGCTAGCGGCTATCTTAAAATTAGATAATGGCTGTTAGATAATCTCTCTGAGCTAGTCTATTACCTCTAGTTAGACAACCTCCTAGATAATCTTTATGAGATGTTCTTTGTGGCAGTAAAACTGAATCATATGAAGGCGATAAAGGATAGCCGGCCCAAATCTACCTTAAATAAATAACAAAAAAAATTTTCAATTTTATTATTAAAATCTAAAAATTTTAGAACTTATATATGTCAACGGTTGTATTGAAAAAACTTTCTTTTGATTCAATATTAAAAGCTCGTGGAGTTTGCGAACAGCCAGAAATTCGAAAGGAATATAAACACTATACAGAAATTATTGAATTTTTTAAAAAATTAAATATTCAATTCACGCCAAATATTAAAGGAAAAAAATTTTCAAAACATGACCGTAAAAGTTTCAAAATAATAACAAAATATAATACGGCAGCTAACAAAGAGAAAGCAATCAACTAAAATTACTTGAGTAGAATTCAACTAAAAATTTGATTGAACATATTTTTGAGGAATGAAGTTTTTGTGTAGTTATTTTTGATTATATGTACAAATTTTGTGGGTAGGGCTGGGATTTTTAGGTTAAACTAAGTATCGCCAAATATGTTCATATATAGATACATAACTAAAAATCCCAAAATATGCTTGAAGATATGCCAGATCTGGTGTAAACATTTTTGTGTTTGTTTATGTATAATCATTTTGTATATTATATATCTACATATGCTAAAGAAATCATGTAACTCAGAATTTAGGTGTCTAAATACAACATTGAAAATCTTTTAAAATTTTCTAGTAACACACATTCTTTTGATTGTATTTGTAAATTTATCTGATAAAATTCGATTTGATTAAATTACTATGCAAAAAAGAGTGTGGGCATGGATCTTTTTACGCACACTGTATATAAAATTTTATTTATTTTATTACTTTTTGTATTTCTACTAACCAAAAAATATTTTTAGTAGAATTTATCCATATAAAAAACCTTTGTAATATTTTGAATTTATTCCAGACTTACAATATTTTCCATAGTGTGTTTCCAATGTTGTAGCAATATAATATGTATGTATTATTAAAAAGTTTATAAAATGTTAATTTACCATCGTAATCATTAGGGTTTAGCCAAAAAAAGAGTTGAGCCTAAATTAACCGGTTACGGTATACGGGTCTCTAAAAAACGGTATGTGCTAACCGCCGGTTATTCATGTTAATAAAATAATCCCAAAAATTAGCATGCTAGTGAAATTTTCGCACCTCTCATACTTTGATAATAAATTTTTTAGGAAAAGAGAAAGAAATATTTATAATTTCTCCCATTTTACTTCTGTTGTAGTGTGGTTGAGTGGTTTAGGCGATTTTCTTTACTCCCATATTTTTTGGTGATAGGTTCGAATCCAAAGTGAAAATTTTAAGTAAAAATTTTTAAGTAAAAATTTTTTAAGTAAAATTTTTTTAAGTAAAAATTTTCTTTTCAAAAATAATGTAAGCATAATTGAATCTCTTATTAAATCATTTTAAATTTTTAGTGTTGCACAGAATATGTTGAATAAACATGACTAGCCACAAAGGCTGCCTAACTATTGATGAGGGAGCGGGCCCGATTTCTCCCAAATCCACTGATATTCTTTTAATTCAGCCAAATCCGCTGATTTTCTTAATAATCTCTTATCTTCAATAAATATCTCTTATAATCCTCCACAAGAAAAAATGAAAATTTTTGGCCACATAGGTTGGATATGAGTAGAAATTACGAATTTGTTCACTGACGGATTATCCGGGAGCTATTAACAGCATACTAATCACCAAAAATATAAATACAAAAAAATATAAATACACCAAATAATTCCCGGAAATTACATATTTATACAAAAGATTAAATATTTAAAATTTACAAAAGAATGAAAATAGAAAAGAAAAATAGATTTTAAATAGATAGAATTAAATAAAAGTTTTTTTGGAATTTGGGAATTTTTTTGAAATTTTTGTGTTTTTTTGGATTTTATATTTTTGGGATTTTTTTGAGTTTGTTTTTTTTTGTTTTGTGGTGATTTTTAATGTTTTAAGGATTTTTTGGATTTTTTTGTTTTACTAAAGCACCCCAAATTTACAAATGAATGAAAATATGTAAGAAAATAAAATAAATAGATAGTTTAAATAAAAGTTTTTTTTTGGATTTTGTATGTTTTTTAATGTTTTTGTAGATTTTTGAATTTTTTGTTTTTTTCTAAAATTTTAGATTTTTTACTCAATTGTATAACCTAATTGTAGGAGAAATTGTAGTTGAGCATCTGTCAGCAATGGTAGTAATCGTAGCTGAGCATCTGTCAATTTCGTTCGACTAATTTTTTCTATCTCAAGACCAAGTCCAACATTCTTTAATTTATCATTTAACTCAGCAAACTCTGGATGTATGGAAATTTCCAATTCAGCTCGGCAATTTGGACATTTGTCAAAGTTACTTCCGGCTTTTTCAAACCATTCGAATATACAATCCGTATGGTAGAAGTGTCCACAGCTAGTCATATCAATTTGTTCATCTTCTTTATATTTTTCAAGACAGATTGGACATGTTGTTTCATCTTTATTTACAGCCTCGTCGAATATAATCTTTTTGATTTTCTTCTATAATGAAATTAATTACTTTATAATTAAAAAAGTAATCTATAAATTATATAAAATAGACAGCTTGTAAATAGAAACTTAAAATTTTGATGAGTAAAAAATTATTACAAAAGAAAATACATGATTTCAGAAATCAAATTATAAAGCCGAAAAATACATATATCATTAGAATTCCCAATCAAAATTCCGTCGCCCTCTGAATTAAGCCTAATAAAAATTTTAAGGAGTGTCTTATCATTTCTTGAAATCTTTACACAAATGTAAAATAATATGTCCCCTATCAAATGCAATATGAAACTACAGAAACAAACCCCATCTTAAAGAAAGAGAAATTCAAAAAATATCTACATTTATGGACGGGTCAATTATTTCTTACCCCGCAATTATTTTTAATTTCGTTCAAAACTGCTAGTACATAATTGTTACAGTATTCCATGATTTTATTAACCGCCGATCCATCATTAATCATTTTATTTTTTTTCTCTCTTAGTTTACGCTTGGAACCTTCTTCTTGTGATAATGCTTCTTCTAGAATTTTTTCATACTAAAATAATGAAATTAATATTTTATTATATGTATATTACCGTATTTATTCTAATATAAATACAGTCTATATTATTACGACAGTCTCTAATAAAATGACATTCGCGGTTTTTTTCCTTTGGATACAAGATAATCAAATATAATGTATATCAAATTGATTAATAAAATTTAGTGAATATTTTTGCAAAAACAAAAGTGGATAAGTGGCGGAAAGTTTAACAAAAGTGGCGGAAAAGTTGCCGCTCCCTGTTCATATGTATAATATCATATTTTATTTGATTAAAGTCAATGGACGGAAAAGGAAGCCATATACCGATGCACGAAAAGCGGGGATTCCGTTATTCCGAAGCAGGAAATACCCCCATATAAAATATTTGAGTATTATTTCTCTTAAAGTCCAACTATATCCCATAAATCCAAGCCATCACTTTGTACTCCCAGATATCTCTTATATCCTTTGTATCTCAGGTTATCTCATCAAATCCACTAATATTCACTTAATCTATATTAATCCACGATATCCTCAAATCCATTGACTAGATTAATATTTCAAAGAAACTCATCACCTAAAATTAAATTCTAAAATTTTTAGTGGTTAAATTTAGTGTAAAAAATGATTAAACAAAGATATCCTTGGCTAATGATTAATTGATTAAACCTTATTAGAAATCACAGGATGTGTATGTTGAGCTAGACTTTTCATATTGGTTAAACAGTTAAAATATTTATTGTAATCATCAACAGATTTCGAACTATAGTCGCTAATCAATTTTTCAAGAACGTTTTTTCTTTCTATAAGCTCGATTACTGAATCACCAGTTGAAATTGAAGCTCCAATATTTCCAACACGACTTGAACTTGAAGTCCCAGAACTTCTTGAAATTGAATATAAATTTTGAATGAAAGAATGCTTGGCCTAACTACAGTTTCCGGTCCAGCCACAGAATTGGACGATTTATATGTCATTCAAAAGAGCTCGGCGAACTCAGTAGAACGACATCAAAATTTTTCAGCGGAAAAAATTCTGAGCCGAGGTACAGACTCCTAATTTTCAAAAAAACCATAGGGGGGACCAAGCTGTTTTCTAGGGATAAAAAATTCGAATATGCAAATTATACCTCATTCGAAAGATCTCCTCGAGATGAGTCGAATGACACCAAAAATCAACGAAATCCGACTTGATTGGGCGCAAAGCTATGATCGTTTGTTTTGACCCCTCCCTTACTTCGCGGAAAAAAGTTTTTGCCGCTGCGGAGGAAGCCGGGCATGTCGAGCGGAACGACGGCCGCCGCTTCGCTACGGTCTCCGCGAGCGAAGCGAGGGCCCTCCACGTGGTGCACAACGTCTACTACTACGTCCTCCACGAGGTAACGAAACATAATTGACTCCGGCTTCATTCTACCTTTATGAATCTCGAGTTGTTTGTGACTATAATGCTTAATCTACTTTAGAAAACTTGGAATAGGTTTAATGTATTTGTGTTTAATCATGGAAGATTGTACACTTTGTCACAAAACTATAAGCACTCCAAAATTTTTGTAAAAATACATATATCCCTAAGTATCATTTGTTTTAGT